AATACTGCCACCCTGAGGACTGACTTTTAATCATATGAGCCCTAGGAGAGACACAAAGCTTATCCAAGGTGATACTAAAATCACAATCTATGAAACAAAATATAAGTAGACTATCAAAATTCAAAACTTTATGCCCCAAAAGATACTAGTAAGATAAAAAAGAGGGGCTGAAAGCCAGGTACACATGGCTCACACCTGTAATCCTAGCTTCTTGGGAGGTTGAGATCAGGGGACTATTGTTCAAGGCCAGTCCAGGAGACAGACTAGGGGGTGGGGTGGAGTTTGTAAGACCCCATTTCAACAGAAAAGAGCTGGGCACTGTGGGAAGCATAAAAATAGGGTCATGGTCCAGACTGGCCTGGGCAAAAAGTAAGATCCTATCTCCAAAATAACTTAGACTAAAAAGGGCTGTTAGAGTGGTGCCTGCCTAGCAAGCACAAAGCCCCGAGTTCAAACCCCAGTACTTAAAAAAAATTTTAAGGGCTGAGATGTAGCTTAATAGTAGAGTGTTTGGCTAGCATGAGCCACACCCTAGGTTTGATATGAAACACTCCAAAAAGAAAAAAAGATGAAAAATGCCACAATTTGTAAGAAACTATGCAAATTACCTATCTGATAAAGAATTTGTATCCATAATACACAAACAACTTACATGACTAAGACAACTCAAGTAAAGAATGAACATAAGATTTACCAAAGAAGATACATGAATGTCCAAAAAGCATATGAGAAGATCTTCCACATGACTAAGCCATTGAAGAAATGCAGAGTGAAACCATAAGTGACATAGCATCTCATACACACACGATATAATGGCCACAATCTAAAAGACAGCAAATATTGGTGAGGATGTGGAGAAATGAGAACCCTTGTGCATTACGGTGGAAATGTACGGTGGTGCAGGCATTTGGGAAAGTAATTTGGCAATTTCTTTTATTTTTTATTTTTTTATTCATTCACATTTGCATAAATTGTTTGGGCTGGCAGTTTCTTTTAAAAGCAGAAATTTAACATGACTCAGCAATTTCATTCCTCCCTATCTAAGAGATACGAAACCTACACAAAGGTTGGCATACAAGTTTTCATGACAGCATTCTTCACAAAGTAAAAGCAACCCCAATTTCCATTAACTGGAAAATAAGAAAATGTGGTGTATCACACTTTGGAGTACTGTTCAGCAATTAAAAGAAACAAGATACTGATACATGCTAAAATAAAATTGATGAACCTCAAAAACTGTTAAGTGAAAGGAACCAGATACAAGAAATTAAATGTTGTATGAAATTCAATTATATGAAATGTCCAAAAAGAATACAAATCTATGGAGACAGTCAATTAGTAGTTGCCTGGATTTAATGGTGGAAAATGGAGATTAATGAGAACAGATAAGAAGGATCTTATTTGGGGTGCTGACCATGTTCTAGAGCCCGTAAATTTACTATAAAAGCTATTGTACACCTAAAGAATTTTATGGCAGGTAAATTACATCTCAGTAAGGTTCTTAAAAAATCAAAGCACTTTTTCTGACCACAGTGGAATTGGTTAGAAATTATTCATAATAATCAAGATGTCAAGAAAAAACAAAGTTCAAAATAATGAATCAAAGATAAAATCATTAAAATTTTTGGGATGTATCTTGAGATGTTTAGAGGTGAATTTATAGCTTTAAATGCTGTATTAGAAAAGAAAATTGATTTAAAATAAATGATTTATGCTTCCACCCTAAGAAGCTACAAATAATAAGGACAGAATAAGTTGAAGGAAGGAAATAATAAAGATTTTAAAAAGCAAAAAAAAAAAAAAATCAATAAAAACTGGAAAGAGGTGAGTAAAATATCAGTGAAACCAAAAGCTAATGCTTTAAAAAAAATGACAAAACTGGCGCGCTCCTACCTGGAGTGACCAAGGAAAAAAACAGAAATCACTGAGAGCAGAAAGCCCCACCCTGATATTGCTGCTTTTTTCTTACTTAGTAGAATTATTTAAGGCTTAAAAATAATGTTTTTAAAGCCTAGTTCTGAGGATTTTAAAAAAAAAAAAACAAGCTCAGTTTCTTCTAGTATGCTCACAGTACAGAGCATTCTATGATCTCAAAATGTGGGGTTCTTTCCACCAGCAAGTAGGCAGTCAGTTCTGCCATGGACAGCAGCATTGTGTCCTGGGATCAGATCAGTCCTGACACTGTCTCCCTGAAGATCGCAGTCAATCCCCAAGGCTGGTTCATGCCAGTCACAAGCCTCACGTGATTTGACCTGTGCTTCTAACAAGGAAGTTTGCTAACACCCTTGCCATATATTCCAAAAATGCCAGAAGACCAGGAAAAGAAATGAGGGAGAAAAATACAGTAGACCCTTGGTACCCCTTCTGCAGGTTTGTTTCTCAAGGAGACCGCCATTGAGGAAAACTGCAAATACTCTGGATACATAGAGCTCAGCACTGTACTGCAGGTGCTTGGTTCATTTTCCTCATAATGCGCCCAGCTTCACTGAAGATAGGCTGTCTTCAACAGACCTCACATTTTCACTTTATTGCTTAAAATTAAGCATAGCAACTTTTACCTTGCTCTTTGGGAGGCAGATTTTCACAGAATGAAGAACAGGGAAACACTCAGCAGATCACACAATTTAAATACAGCTGACAATGCAGGACTAACTGAGAGCTTTTCCACATCAACTGAGCTGAAGAATGCATGTGGGAATTTAAAAGTTTTGTTTTTTAAATCTCTTTTGATTTTTAAAAATTTATTATTGTATTTTTTGCCATACCAGGCCAAAACTACGTGTCATAAATCTGCAAATAAAGTGGACTTGCTGTATTGCAGAAGAATTCACAAGACTCAGTATTAACACAGACTAGATTACCTTCTACCATGGGAAACTGTACCAAAGAAATGGCCCAAATGAGATAGATGCTTTAAAAATAGCTTTCCTGTATTTAACATTAGAAGAATATACTAGTTCACCATGACATAAACCTAAAATGTCTAGAAGCAAAAACCAACATGAAATGCATAATACCTACATGAGTAGAAGACCTTACTAATGGATTCAGTATTGGGAAGGTATCGGTTCTTCCCAAATTAACCTAGTCAGGTTAGTCCAGTTAAAATACAAAAAGCCAAAAAACAGAAAACTGTGGAACCGAATACTAGGGTGACCAAACCATAATTTATTGAGAAGATTATGAGAATGATCAAGAAAATCTTGAAAAAGAAAAAATATGGGACCACCCACTAAAAATATCAGAACACATGCTAAAAACTATAATTAAGTGTATTACTTGATACCAAAGAAGATAAATGAGCCAGTGGAATGAAAGCACGTCCAGGATTATATATGTATATAAAATGGGATGTGGGACATGAAGAGATAGCACTTCTAATCAGTGAAGAACAAGAGATATTAAACAAATGTGTTGGGATAATTAGCTGCCCATTTGAGGAAAGAGTTCTGTTCCACATCGAGCAAAAGCAGCAACAAAATACATGGAGTAGATATTTAAGTGAAAAATTTGAAGGTATTACAAAGCTTTTATCATTTGGAGTAGAGAAAACATACAAACCTGGCATCATAAAAGATAAATGAATCTGATTACATAGAAATGTTAAGTGCTTTATGATTAAAAATAACAATATATATAAACAACTAGAAGAACATAGGTTGTAATATCTGGGCATTGGAATTACAGGCATCTTTTAAATGCTTTTTCATACAAAACTCTACATGTACAAGATTTTCTCATGTTCTTTGTATAGACAGGAAAATTTTTACATATACTTTAGTGTTCTCAAAAATGAAAACTGGAAAATATGTCTTTAAACCTAAGTTATCGTAGAAGAGAATAAAATGTAATTCTAGTGGTATCTTCTTGGACTAAGATTTACAGGGAGGAAAATTAACAATAAATTAAGATTAAAAAGTCAGTGAAGTTGCCTTATTAACAAGTGAATAGCTTACTAGAGGTAAAAAAGTGATTTCTTAAAAATTGATGGCCAGCATGTTTGTCCAAGTTAGTGCACCTTTGTAAAACTAGTTGGTGGTTTTTCTGTTTGTTTATTTGTTTGTTTTGTCTCCAGAAGTTGTGATGTTGATTAACTGACCATCTGGGTGGTTAGGTGATAGGTGTTTCCACTACCTTACAAGTGATTTCTTTTTTTTTTTTTTAATTATTCATTTATTCACATGTGCATACATTGTTTGGGTCATTTCTCCCCCTACTCCTCTCCTCATCTTTCCTCCCTCCCCCCTCACTTCCAGGCAGAACCTGTTCTGCCCTTATCTCTAATTTTGTTGAAGAAAAGGCATAAGCATAATAAGGAAGACAAAGTGTTTTTGCTAGTTGAGATAAGGATAGCTATACAGAGATATTCCTAGTATTGCTTTCGTGTACGCATGTGTTACAACCCATGTTGATTCTTCTCTAACTAATCTTTACACTGGTTCCTGATCCCCTTCTCATGTTGACCTCTGTCGCGTTAAGGTTTTCTGTATTAGTTCCTCTGGAGTGCAGACATCAGATGCTTTCATGTTTTGGGTTTTCTACCTATTCCTATGTCTCCCATATGTGCTCTTCCCTTGTCATGTGATCCAAGTTCAGCCATATTACTGCATGTGCCCTAGATCTAAAGTCTGCATATGAGGGAGAAAATAGGATTTTTGGTCTTCTGAGCCTGGCTAACCTTGCTCAGAATGATGTTCTCCAGTTCCATCCATTTACTTGCGAATGATAAGATTTCATTCTTCATGGCTGAGTAGAATTCCATTGTGTATAAATACCACATTTTCTTGATCCATTCGTCAGTAGTGAGGCATCTTGGTTGTTTCCATAACTTGGCTATTGTGAATAGTGCTGCAATAAACATGGGTGTGCAGGTGCTTCTGGAGTAACCTGTGTTGCATTCCTTTGGGTATATCCCCAGGAGTGGGATTGCTGGATCATATGATTTCTTAAATAACTAACTTTAAATGTGAAGGAAATTAAGCTTATAATTATGTCCTTAGGATCAAAGTTCTGATCGTACCAGTCTTTCTTCAGTGGGAGCCCAGGATTCTGAATCTACCTCTTTGACAGATGAAGATGTTTGCCATGAGTTGGAAGGAGCCGCTTCTTCCCAAGAGAGCAGTACCACTTCAGGGACCAAGGGGATTGATCTCAGCCGGACAAGCCTGGGAAGTTCTGCCTCCTTAGAAGGTTTGTCCAGGCACTTCTGTCATACTGCATTTGACTTGTAGCAGCTTTGCTTTTTTACGATCTCATTTCTATTTTTTGTTTTATTTCTATCCCTAGAGGTAGCCATTTTTACTCAGTTTTGATTTATCTTTCCAGTGTTGCTTTTCTTAGAATAAAGTACAAGTATTTATATATATATATATATATATATATATATATATATATATCCTCATTATTTTAAATCTCAAAAGGTAATAGGCTAAACTCTTTCCCATTCATTGCCTTCTTTTTTAACAAAATATCCTGAAGGTCATTCCATGTCATCACATAGCCATGTCCCTCATTCTTTACAGTGAGTAGTTCATATGAGTAGTCATACCATAGTTTATTTTAACCGCTTCCCGATGGACATTAGGCTTCCAGTCTTTGTAATGCTGCAGTGTGGAAGTGTCATGTTATACCTTTGCCAGTGTATCTTTAGAAGACACTTCCAAAATTCTTCCCTGAAGTGATATTTCCAAGTTCCTTCCCACAGGTGTGTACTAGTTTGGTTCCCCCTAGCATATGTGAAAATGCTTTTTTCCCCACAGGCTTGTCAACAAATATGTTGGCAGAATTCTCAATTTTTGCCATCTGATAGGTGAGGAATGTAATTCAGTTTTGTTTCATTTACATTTCTATTATAAAAATTAAGTTGGGAGTCTGTCTTTAACATGTTTTCCTAGCTTTTCTATTTCTGGTGAACTGGTAGTTTACACTGTTACTTTTTGCATTGAAAAAGACTTTTTCATTATTTGTTTTTTCTAAATGATCTTTAATATTTTGGGTTTTTTTTCTTTTATTCGTATGTGCATACAGTGTTTGGGTCATATCTCCCCACCCTTCCCCCCAGATCTTTAATATTTTGAATCAAACAGGTTGACATTTCATCTGAGAATTTATGAAAGTAAAAGATTTTTGGGGGGGGAGGAGGGTGAGAGTGAAGTTTGAACTCAGCTTGAGCTTGCAAAGCAGGTGCTCTAACACTTCAGCCGCACCTCCAGTCCATTTTGCTCTGGTTATTTTGCAGATTGGGGTCTCATAAACTATTTGTCTGGGCTGCCCTTGAACCATAATTCTCCTGATCTCAGCCTCCCAAGGAGCTCGGATTGCAGGCAAGAGCCACTGGTGCTTGTCAAAAGAATGTTATATTGAAGTATTTATGGAAGTGAAAATTCTGTATTGTTTCTCATCAATTTTAATGTTGCTTCTCTTTGTTTTTTAATAACAAACAGGATCCCTTTCAAAGTTCACCTTACCTGGGAAATCAGAAGTGACATCTCCCCTCAATACCAGTAATACAAATATCTTCCAGAACTATGCAATGGAGGTACAGTTTTATTCAAAAGAGCATCTTTGTGTACTACTTTATAAAATATTGATGGTAGCTGTTAATAAAAGTTAAATATGTAGCATCTGAAATTTCATAATGTGAATCCCATCTGAATAAAGTTAAAGTCTGATATTTAGGTATCTATTATTTCACATTATTGAAGTCATGCTAACTTTATTAGCATAGTTCCATGCTTTCTTTGAAGTTTATCAGTATATGAAAGTTTTCATTTTCAGCATTTATATTTATTCCTTCTCATATGTATGTTCTCGTTAAACATTTATTTCTCACTAAAAATAAACAATGTTGCTGTGCAAGTGAACATTTTTGATGAGGGTATGGAAAGCAGTTTTGGCTTTATATTGTCAACTTCTTTGATGGTACTGGAATTTGAAGTCAGGGCTCCACACTTGCTAGGGAGGTGCACTATCGCTTGAGCCACTCCACCAGCCCTTTTTGCTTTAGTTATTTTTGAGACAGAATCTCACATTTTTGCTTTAGCTGATCCTTCTGTTTATGCCTTTTGCATAGCTGGGATTACAAGTACACACTACCACTTTCAGCTTTATTGGTTGAATTGGTGGGGGGGGGTCTCACTAACATTTTGCCCAGGCTGATCTTGAACCGTTGTCCTCCCAATCTCCACCTCCCAGGTAACTGGGGTTACAGGCATGAGTCACAACACCTGGCTTATGTTTTCAACTTCTTCATCAGGTTTTTGTTGTTGTGTCAGTTTGATAGCAGTATCTGTTGGGTACTCTGCCATACCCTATTTTCTTACAATGAAAAAGTTTATACTTTAAAATTTTTCCTGTAAAAATTTAAGTGTGATTGCTATTTCATGCTACTTTACATAAATAAATTTACATATGGCTGGAAATAATGATAAACGCTGATGTTGTGGTTTACAGATTTTTTGTGACTTTAGGAATTCCTATATTTTATTAAGGTTAAAGTAATGACAGCATTTACAGTGATGCACCTTAAACTAATACTCTTGTAAAATACATTGATTACAGACTCAGATGTTACAGGTATCTAATCTTCTTCTCAATTGCTTTACTGATGACAAACCAGTGAGACTTTGTGGCTCAGCACTGGCCTGAAAGCTACCTGTAGGCAGCACTGATCTGTAGTTACAAGTACCTGTTTTGTGTATTGACAAATAAGTTCTGAGTTTACTTTTCCATTAATAAAACCATAGCAAATTTTATGGGAAAAATGTCACTTAGATGCAAGTTTCTCTTTTGTGCAAAATTTTGGATAGACTTAGCTGAAATGGTTGAAGATGGATATAATAACATACTGAATGTGGTTCATTTTTTTGTTTATAATGTCTGAGTCCTTCCGAGTTTTATTTTTTAGTAGATTTATTAATTGAAATGGTTTTAAATTCATAATATGCATTGTCTAGCCTGCTTTTTTTTATTCATTTATTCACATGTGCATACATTGTTTGGGTCATTTCTCTCCTCTGCCCCCCGCCCCCACCCTCTCCCTCCCCACCCTTCCCCACCCCCAACTTCCAGGAAGAACCTGTTCTACCCTTATCTCTAATTTTGTTGAAGAGAAGAAATGAGCATAATAAGAAAGACAAAGTGTTTTTGCTAGTTGCAATAAGGATAGCTATACAGAGAGATTCCTAGCATTACTTCCACGTACAAATTTGTTACAACCCAAGTTGATTCATGTCTAACTGATCTTTACACTGGTTTCTTATCCCCTTCTCTTGTAGACCTCTGTCATCTTAAGGTTTCTGTATTAGTTCCTCTGCAGTGGGGACATCAAGCACTTTCATGTTTTGAGTTTTCTACCTATTCCTATATCTCCTGTATGTGCTCTCCCCTTGTCATGTGAACCAAGTCCAACCACATTACTGCATTTACCCTAGATCTAAAGTCCGCATATGAGGGAGAAAATAGGATTTTTGGTCTTCTGAGCCTGGCTAACCTTGCCCAGAATGATGTTCTCCAGTTCCATCCATTTACTTGCTAATGATAAGATTTCATTCTTCTTCATGACTGAGTAAAATTCCATTGTGTATAAATACCACATTTTCTTGATCCATTTGTCAGTAGTGGGGGCATCTTGGCTGTTTCCATAACTTGGCTATTGTGAACAGCGCTGCAGTAAATATGGGTGTGCAAGTGCCTTTGGAGTAACGTGAGTCGCATTCCTTTGGGTATATCCCTAGGAATGGGATTACTGGATCATATGGCAGGTCTATGTTTAGATTTTTAAGACGCCTCCATATTGTTTTCCAGAGTGGTTGCAATAGTTTGCATTCCCACCAGCAGTGTATGAGGGTTCCTTTTTCCCCCCACATCCTCACCAACAGCTGTTGGTGATGTTTTTGATGATGGCTGTTCTAACAGGGGTGAGGTAGAATCTTAGTGTGGTTTTGATTTGCATTTCCTTTATGGCTAGCCTGCTTTATAAAGTGTCATCTTGTCTGTAGGTTCTCATCTCAAGCTGTTCTCGGTGTAGAACTTGTGATTGTCTTGTCCATGATGAGGAGATCATGGCTGGATGGACAGCAGACGACTCCAATCTCAATACCACCTGCCCATTCTGCGGCAACCTTTTCTTACCCTTTCTGAATGTGGAGATAAGAGATTTGAGACGACCTGGAAGGTAATAACATAGGCTTCTTTTCCTTTTTATGTTTAAGGATCATGTCTCCTAGAATATTTCAGAAAACTCCTTTGGTTCACATTCTAGGTACTTTTTGAAGTCAACTCCATCCACAGAAACTATGCACTTTTCGTCCTCTTTTTCAAGTCAGACAAGGCAGTCTTGCATTTCAACATCAGCCTCTGGTCTTGACACATCTGCTATCCCTATTCAAGGGAATTTTAATCTAAGTAGGTAAGTGTGATTATGTGGAACTATATTCTAACAGTATTTATTGCACATGTTTTAGATGTGTGACAGAAAAATCAACTGACCATTTCAAGGTTTAAATTTCTGTGAAAAATGTGCATGCTGGTAATCTCGGCACTCAGGAGACAGAGATAGAGGGGTTGTGAGTTTGAGGTCAGCCTGGGATATATTGTGAGATTCTGTCCTAAATAAATAAGTGAATGAATGAATGAGTTCTGTGACAAACAAATTCTTTAGCTAACTAAAATAATATGAAAATCTCTAATAGCCTAAGTATTTAAATATAAAACATCTATGATATTATACTTTATAATAATGTTTACCAAGAAAACATTGGGAACTGGTATAGAAACTATAAAATTAAACTAAAACTTACATAGCCTAGTACCAGTAATCTACACTTAAATGCAAAAACTGACTTCCATTTTGCAAAGGTGCCATATCAGCCATGGATAGCTGGACAGGTGAATCCATATTGGCAACTGCATATGGTATTGACAAGCTAATGTAACCTGTTGAATCCTAAATATTTAAACAGTAAAACCAAAAACCTGAGTGTGCACCTTCTTTCATGAAAATCTGTCTTCAACTGTCTTTTACTGGCCTGTGACTCCTAAAGGAATACATCCAGTTTTTCTACTTTGTATCCCCAAAGGCCAGTGTGATACTATATCAAAGTTATCTACTAAATGTGTTGAATAAATGACTGAGCCTTGACTATTTAAAGTTCACTTGATAAATAGAAAATTTGGCATAACTACTACACAAAAAATATATATCCTTTTTCCTAGCTGAAGCCTTGTAACATATTTTCAGTGATTTATTTTGCTGCATCCAATTCTGATTCTAAAAGGGGCATGGTTCTTCTAGATAAAATAAAGAAAATCCTAGACACTGATAATACTTCTTTTTTCAACACCCAAAGCAAATGTAAACTGCAGGAAAATTCCTGTGCCCGAAGTATTCAGATCCCTGCCAACAGATCAAAGACAGCCATGTCAAAATGTCCCCTATTCCCAGTGGCCAGGAGCATTGGTACTTATGGGCCCTTGGATAAGGAAGACACTGGAGGACAGAGAATCCTTCCTACAGGCAGCCTACCAGCTACTTTACATGGAGCAACAGTATGTACCTTGGTGTTTTTCTGATTGGTAAATGATTTCATGATTTTGTTCCTCTTGTCCTGAAAGCCTTATGAACTTCAATTTTATTATTGTCATTAAGACAGTTTTATAATTGTCCATGATACAGTTATATTACCCTTCTCTTCATGGAAATCATTCACAGAAATTTTTTTAAATAATTTAGTATTATTGTTTACATATTTGTCATTTGTGGTTTTTATTTATTCAACAGGACTCTTTAGGATTAGAATGGCACTTTCCAAGTCCAGATCCAGTCACTGTCCCATATCTTAGTCCATTAGTGGTATGGAAGGAGCTTGAAAGCTTGTTGGAAAATGAAGGTGATCATGCAATAACAGTGGCCGACTTTGTGGACCATCATCCAATTGTTTTCTGGAACTTAGTGTGGTATTTTAGGCGTCTTGACTTGCCAAGTAACTTACCTGGATTGATTCTTTCTTCTGAGCATTGTAACAAGTATTCAAAGGTATGCATGCTACTGTCATCATCAGTGTTTGCATATTCCTAATGATAAAAAAATATTGTTTTTATGCTATTTTTAATAACCATCTAATCTTTAGATAAGTAGAATTGTCTTTAACTGTGTTTACAAATAATTTTTCTTATAGTCTGGTCCTAGTTTTTAGCCTTCCCCTAATTTACATAAATCTGCTTAAATGTTTGTTACTGTTTCAAAAATTATACTGGCAATGACTCTTATAAGAAGGATTTGTGAGTTAACCCTACTTGTATTTCATATACCTCTTTCAAAAACAAGACCAACACGTTTTAGGAGGATATCTAGAATTTATATTGCAAGCATGTGCTACCATTCTCTTCATTCTTTTACTTTGAATTTTTGCTTAATATTTAGGCAATTAGCTTGTTAGTATTTTCACTAATTTTTTTCATTAATTTTTCTAGTGCTGGGGATCCCAAGGCCTCAGGCATGCTAGAAAGTGCTCTACCACAGAGCTACATCCTTGGCCTCCATTTCTATGAAAGTGTTTTACCCTTTCATATGCTATTACCATCACTAAAGGGCAAAGCTAAGTCAAGGAACTTTGTCTTCTCCTTGTGCTTCTTGTCTGTGGTTATACATGTGCTTTTGGTTTCAGTATATCTTAAATGAGTGAAAAAGGTGTTAATTCAGTCTTTGAACTGATAAAGAATGGGACTCCTAGGGCTGAGGATGTAGCTCAATGGCAAAAACACTTCGATCCCCAGCACTGGGAAAAAACAGAATTTGAATAGGACTCCTGGATTCTTTCTGTGGACTCCAAGTCATGAGCAGGGACAAGATTAGCCCTTCGTGGCACTCTTTCTTACTCAGGTACTTTGTTAAATCTGCTACCTTAGAGGTCATTAGTTTCTCAACTCAGCCTGTCTTCCTTTAGTAGATACCAAATGCATACAAACCTGTCAATTTCTGTTTTCTCTTTTCTCCTGTACATTCTCATCTGACAAAAAAAAAAAAAGATTATGAGGATTTTATAAAATATTTCCAAAAAAATACCATGTAAAGATCATGAATTTTTTTTCTACAACACAGATTCCTCGCCACTGTATGTCTGAAGATAGTAAATACGTTTTAATACAAATGTTATGGGATAATATGAAATTACATCAGGACCCAGGGCAGCCCTTATACATCCTCTGGAATGCCCACAGTAAGTACTATCCTAGAATGTGGACTTTGCTTCTCAGATAGAAATCTCTACTTGCTTTAAGTAGCTACACTTCTGTATAATGACCGTTTTACTATACTACTTTTTGTCTTACAGGTCAAAATCGTACTCTTTTGTTTGAGAGTGAGTGTTAACTTTTGATTTTTTTTAGTGCTACCATCTATGGAAGTCAAGTTCTTTTGGCATTTTTGTTTTGGTTTGGTTTTTGAGGGGTGCTACACTGCGTATGTGCTGGAGGGGTTAGTTGTGTTTTGTACAGTCAGTTTTCAGTACATTGCTTGTCCCAATTTCTTCTTTTTACGTATTTTTTATTTCCATCCCTGGCTGCTAATGTAGAATTTCCTTCAGGTGCTGTATTAAGGAAAACTGTTTTTAGTTATTGTCTGTTTGAGGTCACAGAAAGCTTTTAGGCTTATTTTTGTCATTTTTTTTTTTTGTAGATTTCTATTCCTTTATCTATGGCTTTTAATTTATTTGTAGTGCTTTGTAACGTCATTAACAGCTATCATTTGCTATTTAATTTATTTCTCCTTTCTACACAGAACATTTCCTTCATCTCCTGTTTTGTTCTTTTACAGCCCAAAAGTATCCAATGGTCCATTTACTGCAAAAAAGTGATACCTCATTTAACCAGGAACTATTGAAAAGTATGGTAAAAAGTATTAAGATGAATGATGTCTATGGACCCATGAGTCAGATTCTAGAGACACTGAATAAGTGTCCACATTTTAAAAGACAGAGGTAAGTCATTTTCTTACAGAGCATATCGCTCCTCAAAGCAGATACATCTTTTGGGCTTAGCTATTTTTAGTATATCACATGCTTATATTAGCATAAGACTTTGTATAGAGAAAGTACAGACTATATAAATACTAATATATTATCTATGTCTTTTCCCTCTAGGAGTTTATACAGAGAAATACTGTTTCTCTCACTTGTGGCACTGGGAAGAGAAAATATTGATATAGGTAATTCAGTATAACAAATATACAATATTAACATAGTGCAGTATAGTGTTTCAAAGTATTTTTATTGGTGGTCTTAATTATTAATATTAAGTCATTAATATTAGAAAATTCTTTGATTTTTTTTAATCTAATATAGAAGATATTTTGATACTTTAGTCATGGAAATAATAATAATGATAAATAATAAGTTAACCTTGGTAGGCCTCATACTGTAGCAGGTCTCTGTCACGTATTACCTCCTATAATTCTCCCAAAAGTCCTACAAAATAGGTACTGTTATTAGCCTTCATGCCATGAGACCGGTTGTAGAATTTTGCAGCAGAGGTGTGTATAGGTGAGATGGCAGGCATCTTCTAGATGGAATTATTAGAGGAGTATGGTATTTTAAAGACAGAAACACTAATTAGAAAATGTGTTTACAAGAAACTTGACAAATGATTCTACATTCAACTGGAAAAATGATCATGCAGGAATAGGTAGGAATTAAAAATATATAATAAAAAAAAAAGCCAGTAGGGAATCGAAATGGTACACTAGAAAATATCTAGTTAACACAAAGGAAGGAAACCAGGCACAGTGGCTCATGTCTCTAATCCTAGCTATTCCAGAGGCAGAAATCAGGAGTAGGCTAGCCTAGGCAAAAAGTTCTTGAGACCTCATCTTAAAGCTGGGCACCTTTGTGCACCCCTTCATCTCTGTTACATGTGGGCAGCACAAGTAGTAGGATCATAGTCCAGGCCAGCCCAGAAATAAGCTAGAGATCCTATTCAAAAAATAACAAAAGCAAAAAGGTCTGTGGGCATGACTCAAGTGGTAGAGCACCTGCCTAGCAAGCACACAGTCCTGAGTTCAAACCTTGGTATCACCAAAAAAAAAAAAATGAAGAAGGAAGAAAGACATAGCACATATAGGGAAAAATAGCCAAATTGCAGTTAGAAGTCCTAATTTATCAGTAATTGGGGAGAGACAGAGAGAGAGAGAGAGACTGACTTTAGATTAAAGATAAATAGGTAGAAAGTTAAAGAACTTTTTAAAAATGCTCCATTCAAGAAAGGATATCAGACAAAATAGATTGCGACAGAGACTGTTATTGGAGACAAAGAACATTTTATAATGATAAGAGTCAATCCACCAAGAAGGTGTAATAATTATAAAAATATGTACACCTTAGAAGAAAACACAGGCATAAATCTTCATGATCCTGGAATAGACAATGGTTTGTCTTGACATCAGAAGCACAGAGGAGCAAATAAAAAGGTAATTTGGGTACCATCACATTAAAAATCTGTATGCAGTAAAGGACACTATCAAAATATGAAATAAAGCCCACAGAATAAGAGAAGACATTTGCAAAGCATATATCTCATAAAACTTATATTCAATATATAAAGAACTTTCATGACTTGACAGTAAAAAGAAATAATCCATTTGCTCAACAGGTGTTGGCAAGGATGTGGAGAAATGGAGGCCTGTATGTAATGCTGGTTAATGTAAAGTAACATAGGGCATAAAGACTAGAAACAGTCTGTGTCTCTTCAAAATAGTGAACATAGATTTTTAGTGTATGAACCAGCAGTTCCACTCCTAGGTATACACGAGAGAATTGGGTATATACTATATACCCAAGAACACAAATTTTTTATGGAAACTTCTATATGAATGTTTACAGCAACATTATTCATAATAGCCAAAAAGTTGGGGGACCCAAATATGCATCACCTGATTAGTGGGGAAACAAAATACGGCATATTTGTACATATTTATTCATCTATAAAAATGAATGAAATACCGATACACACTACAATATGGGTTAACCGTTAAACATGTTTATCGAAAGAAGCCAGACCCAAAAGACCACATGACTGCATTTACATGAACTGTCCAGAAAAGGCAAATCCGCAGTGATAGAAGGGGAATGGTTGCAAACTGCTGTGAAGTTTCTTTTTGGTGAGATGAAATGTTTTGGGATTAGTGATGTGATTGTATGATCCTGTGACTGTGCCAAAAAACACTGAATTTTACACTTAACATTGGTGAATTATAAGGTATATGAGTTGTATCTCAATTTTTAAAAGCTTTTTAAGTAATAAAAAGAATAGTAGGAAATATTTTTTAAAGACTCATTAGAGGGATTTGCCTTTGTGGAAGCCACTATAATTACAACAGGATGATAAAAGTACAGGCAGTGCTAGAAAAGTCAGCAGGACTGAACAGAGTCTGAAATGAAACATAGAGCCATGGAAATGCAATACATGATAAGACCAGTTAGGAAAAGCAGACAATTAAATAGTGTGGAAGCAATCATTGTAACCAGTGGGAAAGATGCTAGAGCTTACCAAAATCAGGAGTAATGTCCTTTCAGTTAGACCCTTTAACCATGTCTGAACAGAGTGGCTACTGAGAAGGGTTATACAGGTCGATTTACCTTCCCTTTATTCTCTGCCCAGCAGAAGCCCAGAGCACATTCAGATCTGACTCTAGCCCTCTGCATCCAGAGCAGGCTGGACCTTCAGCCTGGAGAAGCTGACTTGCTTGTGCAGTTGGAGGGAAGGTGTTCTGATGTCTGTCATCCCCCTAAAGCAGAAATAGGGAACCTGAGTGACATTCAGACTTAATTCATAGCTCACTTAGATTTCTAAGGGCAGTTTTCTCCATGCTGTGCTAAAAATGAGTGGTAAATTAGCATGATTTCTAGACAGAAACTTTTAACAGAAGTTTGTCAACTTGTATTCTCTCTGTTACATGTAGATTATGTCTGAGCAAAAAGCACACAAACCTTGATATAAATGTCTTTTTTTTCCCTCACTGATAATTGAATCCTAGGCCTTATATTTGCTAGGCAAGCACCCTAAAACTAGATCTGTGCCCCCCATCCTTTTAGTTTTTTATTTTGTTTTTGAGATCTCACTAACTTTGCCTGGGCTGGTCTTGAACTTGCAATTCTCCTGCCTCTGCCTCCCAAGCCTGGCTAATGTCCTTGATGATAAAAGTTGGGCTGAAAAATGTAACTTGGTGCTCAAGCACTTGCATGCTGGATTTATCTCTAGCATAGCAATAATAATAATAACTGATAATAATAATGAAATCAAAGACAGTGAGCTCCATCTATTTCCCATGAGAAAAAAGGGGAAAGTCATTACAAGGTGATGTCAGAAGATATTTGGATTTTTTACCCCAAGATTATCCCATAGTAGAAAATTTAGGGCACAAATTCCAATTGGAGCTAAAATTTAAATTAAAAAAATTAAACTACACGGTCAGCCAAGGGAAAAAGTTAGTGAGACCCCATCTAAACCAACAAGTTGGGCATGATGGCAGCATCTGTGATGCCAGCTATATGGGAGGCTGTAGATAGAGGAGGATCATGGTCTGGGTTGCCCTAGGTAAGAACATGAGACCCAATCTGAAAAATAACTAAAGCAAATAAGGTGTCTGGAGGTTTGACTCAAGTGGAAGAGCAGCTGCCTAAGCAAGTGTGAGGCCCTGAGTTCAAACCCCAGTACGGCCCCCCTTCTGAAAAAATTAAACCATTAAAGTAAAGGAAATATGGGTAAAGTTTTTTCTTAATCCTGGTGGGAAATGTCATTATTAAGTATGAAAAGAAAGGTATAAACGTGTGTATGGTGTTCAGTGGTTTTAACGTCTACACTTGGTACAGATGTTAAAAATTCAGCTGAGTTCTAAATGCCATGGACCCCAATGTCCCCCTTCAAGGTATGTTTGAATGCAGAAATGTCCTTGACATGTTCTTGGCCCCTGATTTTGTAGTTCTGCAGTATTATAGAAACATGATTGTGGTCAACATCAGACATAATTTCTTTATGCCTTTATTTTCTTATGAATTTTTGCAGATGCATTTGACAAAGAGTACAAGATGGCATATGATCGTCTCACACCTAGTCAAGTCAAGAGTACACACAACTGCGATAGACCACCAAGTACCGGGGTGATGGAATGCCGAAAAACCTTTGGAGAGCCTTACCTTTAAGATGTGTGTGTGTACACTCAGTACATATTGTATAGTCAGTGTACAGAGTAGCACTTTTAGACTCTAAACGTTTTTCTTCAGTTTTTGAGAATGCATTCCTAAATGCTTTGGAAGGTTCTGGGAGCTTATGTATTATGTACAGATGTTTTCAGAAGAGAGTGATGACAGACAGGGAGAAAGCCATTTTGTTTCCCATTTCTTCATTCTTTTTTCTTTACCTCCCTGTAACAAGTAATTATTTTTGTGATGAGGAAATCAAAATTGATTGCTGTGAAATAAGACAACTTTTTTATGGTTGGAAAAATCATGTATGAAACTTAGGCAGAAATGTAAGACTAAAGACCTCCTCTTTTCATAGACTGTTCAGATTCTCACCAGGGAGTTGTATTATACATATTTTAAATTGTTTATAGTAAGTTGATATTTTTTTAATTTTTAAATTTAATATAGCAAACTTAAAATGAATTTGAACTTATGAAGCAAGTGTTTATTTTGTCTGCTGCTATTTGAAGTATAGTACAGCTGCAGATCTCTCTATATATATATCTCTATATCTATTTTTTTTATTACTTGGGAGAATGACTTTAAAATGTCAGTGCTAGTGTCAGTGTTGTCCTAGGATTGCATGTTAACATCCCTAAGCTAACTGTGTGAGCGAGTCACCGAAGGGCAGTGTGCCCAGACCAACTCACTGCGCCTGTGCGGGGAGAGTCAGGTGGCTCACTATGTCATGATTCCATAACCTCCTCTACTGCTGTAATATGTACAATACACAGGGAAGATACTCACAATCCAAATATCAATTTAAATTTTAATATCTACCTTGGGAACTATGGTAGACAATTGACTCTATTCCACATTTCATCCTTATTTTAATATCTAAAATGTTGGGTGTGATGCAAATTGTACTATAAATATTTATCTGAAATATGGTTTACTGGGGTATTCTGTTAATACTATATATAAAGATTCAAAGTATTTTTTGAAAGTAGAAATACAGTATCCCTCTGAAAGTACAGCCAGATAGAATTTCCCATATTGAGGAACCTAGCTTTTCAACAGACTTCAGAATCTGAAGTTTATGGAATCTAAAACACAGAAATATCCATAAATTAGACAATAAATTGAATGTTTAAACACCATGAGTATTAAATTGACTTTGAAAATATGTCTTAGTCATGTTGTTTCTAATATCACTTTCTTTGGGTAATTTCTGATAAGGAAAAAGCATCCTTTGGCCTTTAGAATTACTTACAGATTTTCAGTAAATATTATATCTACATTTGCACAGATTGTCATTATTGAAGGAAGTCTCTAGCCATTTTAAAGAAAAGAAAAAATGGTCCCAAACTGGGTATATAAAGCCAGTAGAGCCATGACACTTGGACTGTAAGTACCTTGGCGTCCCAACTTCAGAATCCATTCAGCTATGGAAAAATCATCTTGTTTTTTTGCAGTACTAGTGTTTGAACTCAGGGCGTTGCACTTGCTAGGTAGGCACTCTACCACTTGAGCCACACTTCAGCCCCTTTTCCTATTAGGTATTTTTCAAATAGAGTTTCACGTTTATGCCTGGACTGGCCTGACTGCCATCCACCTATTTATGAATCCCACATAGCTGGATGGCAGGCGAGCACCATCACGCCCAGCTTCTATTAGTTAAGATGGGGGTCTTCAGGTTTCACTACCTTTTTGCCCAGGATGACTCAAAAATGTGATCCTCTTCATCTCTGCCTCCTGAGTAGGTATGAGCCACTATGCCTAGCTTTTCTCTTTTTTTAATTTATAGAGACTAGAGATTCATTTAGCTCATGGTTCTAGAGACTGGAAAGTCCAAGAGTCCTAGTGAGGGCATCATGGCAAAACAAAGCCAGAAAAACCATCTTTTCAGGTCATGCCGCTAATGAACAGCACCAAACTGAAACATTCCATAGCTTCTAATCTGACAGATAGTGGAGCAAGTGTAAAAATGTGAGACTTCATTTGGGTTAATTTGAGGCTGACCTTACTTACTTGAAAAATCTGATATGCATGTACACCTGCTGTGCTCAGTGAGCACCACACTGATCTCACTTTCTTCATTATTGAGATCCCAGTTTCCGATACAAGTGGAGTCATGTTCTCTAAATTGCTCAAAATGGAGAGAAACATGAGACAGGAAGCTTTTGGTATTGGCGGTAAACATCCCTCCCAGCAGGATCCGGGGTTCATTTCTGGTTTTTTTGTTGTTTTTATTCCCCTGTAAGAACAGCTTGCACTATTACTTTCTGTTTCTGTAATACAGACAACATGTGTGAATCATAATTAATTGATTTCAAGTGTCTGAAAAGTGAGGTAAAGCCCTTTCTTTTGGTCTGAATTCATTTGGAAGTGTGAATATAATTATTATCTCTTTTTTTCCTACCCTGAGTTTTGTTTCTACTTTTGGATAAAGTCGTGCTTCTCTTCCTTTTAATCCCCAGGGAATGTTCTTGGACAAAGTCAATCTTTAAAAATAAAACCTCGAGCTAGAGGTGTGGCTCAAGCAGTAGAGTGCCTGCCTAGCAAGTACGAAGCCCTGAGTTCAGTCCTCAGTACTGCCAAAAAAATTAATAAATAAAAAATTATAAAAGCCTAAAACCTGACTAGAAAGTGGTAAATCCTCAAAAAAAAAGTTAAAATAGGCATTCTCCTTTAAAACTGCAAGCTTTTTCCCAATTTTCCCTCTGTTCACCATACACTTGGAAAATCATGACCAATCGGGGTAGAAAGGTTCCCTTTCCTACATTACCTGTCTGTTACTTTCCTGCTCTTAGTTTGCCTGGTGTTTAAATTGTTGAAAATAAGGCACGTTCTCTGTGAGGATGTGTTCACTATTTTCTCTCCTTACATCTAAACATCACACGCTTGTCTCTATATCACACTTCAGTTGTTAACATTTCCCTACTCCTGACACACAGCGGATTTTGTGAAGCTTTCTATATAGAGAAATGGCCCTGGAAAATGTTGGTTCAGTATTTTAGGCAATAAATAATTTTGCCGATAATTACTGTTATATTTTAGTGTGATTAACAAGTGCAAGCCAGTTCTGTTTATAAGTTGGATTGTATTTTTAAATACTGCACAATATGTGGAGAGAAAATGTGTTTGATAATGTACAATATTCAGCTTCATTTGGATTTCTTCCACTAAAACTTAAAAGCTGCTTTAGGCACTTTATGTCACAACAAGAAGGGAAGGAGCAGGCTGCCTCTGTGAGGGGGCCTTGGCCCTACAGGTAGCATGCTCTGCCCTTTACTGTTTGGATGCAACGCTAAGCTTTATTTCAGAATCGAACTCTTAATACCTGCATCATCTTAATACCCTCAGTACCTGGTGTCTTACCCTCCTCCTGTGGCCCTAAAGAAAGCACATCTATTGATGAAATTGTTTTTGTTTACAGAAGCAGCAGTGCGCAAATCAATATAGGAGTTACCTGATTGTGAAAGTCTGTGTGCATGTTCTTATACAGACTCTTCTGATGAAGTTACCATTGCCTCTCCACAATTGCTGTCCCTTTGAATGGCTGCCTCCTTTGGTATTTTCTTTCCAAATATGCTACTGTGAATTTACAAAAAAAAAAGCATTGGAGCAACTGATGGACTGTTCCATAAATGAAATTCCCCAAGTTTTGCTTGCTTATAACAGTAAAGACTGAAGACCAGAAGTGTACTTTTGCTTGACCAGACCAACTTGGCTCAGTATCCTCCAGGCTCTGGTGAGCCCTAGAAATTGGCAGATGTGCTCATGAGACCTCTCTTTGTACCTTTCATAGCCGCAAGTCCTAGAGCACATTGCAGGCTGTACCTGCGGGGTATAGCCTCCCACAACAGAGGGATTAGAAGCAGAGGTATTCATCAACATAGAGGCACACAATTACCTCCATTTATCTACCAGGCTGTGCCCTAAATATTCTAATTTCTGCTTCCTTCAGAACTCAGTCTTTAAGTAATTCTCATATAGGCAGTGTTGCTTTTTTAAAAGCCTCTATTTTGATAAAACCATCTTCATATCTATTGTTGATAGTACAATATAATGTTCAAACATACCAACTTTCAAAAATTTTGAATAGATCCTTTTTCAGGTATCTAAAGAATCTTTCCTCATTTAATTAGAAAACATTTTTATGTTTTAGAAGTCTGTCACAAACCTATTACCAGGGCCATCAAGGGGATGGAGACATCGTCCCTGCAGCCACCCACTGTCTCCTGGCTCAGACACCCATGTGGGGCAGTTTAGACTTTCTAGGCTGAATGAATGACGTAGAATGTGTCCTATTTTGCCTATCAAGTGAAAGGGCCATCTCAATATTATATTGACCTTTTCAGATGGTATTTTATCTCTAAAGAAGCATGATTTTTTTATTGTTACAGTACATTTGTAAAGGGTGACAACAATTTTAATTTCCGAGCATAACAAATTGATCTTTTAGAAGTTACAAGTTTTCCTTGTCCTTGAAATCTGTTTTTTTCTCTTCCCCCAGTGAATTCCTACCCATCTGGCAAGACCCAGGTTTTTGTTGTTGTTGTTCTTGTTGTTACTGTTGTACTGGGATCTGAACTCAGGGCCTCGCCCTTGCTAGGAAAGTGCTCTATGCTTGAGCCATGCCCCCTGACCCAGCTTTTATTCCTTGTAACTTGTCCTTCCCTGTCAGTGTGTAGTGATCAGAGCATCCTTTGTTGGCCAAGGGAAATGCCAGAAATTAAGCAAACTGATGGGGAAACAATGTTAAGTCATTCAAGTTGGTTTTCATCATTAAATGGTTGTCATAGCACTTTGTCATTACAGAACATTTCACTGCCCAGCATTCCTCACTCAATCTGATGAGGAGCATCAGATCTTAGGCTGTTGGTGAGGAGGTGATGCCCTTGAGGCCAGCTGGAATTGGCTGTTGACACGAGCTTGGCACCTAACATTTTGGTACTGAGTTCTCCTTTCCACAGACATTGTTCCTTCCTCCTGTTCTTAGGTATCAAGAATGAAGGTAATTATTATAAGAATATGGAGTTTAAATGCATTTTTCATCAGCCTTGAGCACTCTGACCAGATGATAGCAATAAGCCCATTCATGTTTGTAAAATAAAATACCACTGGGACTCTCACAATTTTTATTGAAATTTATTAAAACCTACTTCCAAAAATGGGAATCCTGAAGTAGTGAGGCAATTAATTAAGTGAACCAGCTAATCTTAAAAGATGAAGTACTTTGAACACCATAGCCCACGAAAATGAACTTTTCTTCACCTCACATCTGTCCTGTCTTCATGCTTTGTGAATCATTCATGTTTTTAAATAAAGCTGTATTTGCCATGATCATCTGCAGACAGCTAAGCTCCTTGTATTCTAAAGCCAGTGACATAAAACAACTTCCAGTGTGTCCCATAACTTGATATCAGCTAGGAAAAGCCACAACCAGTGGTATTTAATATACAAGCATATGAAATTCCACATAAAACATTTAACCACAAAATTTTTGAAATACAAGTGTCCTGCACTGGAGGCTGGGGGGGATAGCTCAAGTGGTAGAGCACTTGCCTAACATGCTCAAAGCCCTGGGTTCAATCCCTAGTACCGCAAAAAAAAAGAAGTGTCCTTGACACTAGCTACCTTAGAAATAGTAGTACTGTTTTTCTCACCATGTCACAATTAAAGCATTTTTAGAGTTTCTTTATAAATTGCCTCAAGAGCCACTTATAAACCACACAAGGAGCTGGTCTTTCTTTGTTACCCTGTCTAGGTTGGCATATGGCAAAAATGTTATTGCCACACTGGATATCTTACTTTATAAGTCAAGTTTGGCTCTTCTGATTTGGGGCTCTTTAAAATTATAACCCTTCTACTCACTAGAGACAGTTGTCACTGCAGGAGAGAACATGCTGAAGGGGCAGGCAGGATACCTTTGTCAGAATGTCCAGTCCCTCACGGTGACCACTGATGGAGACAATATGAGCATGGATTTTACGTATTTTTAAATAGCCCTTAGAGCACTTTTCCTCTAATCTCCACTCCTTCCACTTCATGGAAATTATACATTTTCACTGCTTCCTGTTTCTTCACTTTTCAGAAATGCAGCAGTAAAAGCTAATGAATTTCTTTTATCCTGCACTGTGATGTAGAATGAGAATTGAGTCCTGTTACTTTTTTTTCCCTGTAGCCTTAGCTCGTTAAACTCAGTACTGAACTACAATGAACGCAAATCTGACCGAATTAAGTGCTTGAACAGAGAGGACATTGTGGGGTGCACTTGGGGCAGGGGCCAGGAGAGTAAGACGGACCGGTGACTCTTCAGGGATGACTAAGGGACTGTGAGAGGGAGTTCGTCTTATTTCTGCTATGCCATGTCAGCCCTCCACCTCTCTCATCTAGAAAACACCCTGGCAACAGGGATCCTTCTGCTGCCTGCCTGTGACAGCTGCCTGTCTGAGTCCAGGTAGGAACACCACCCCTCCAAGGTGAGGATCTTAATCCACAGTGAGCATAGGTGTCCCCAACAAGAAGGCTCAGTTCTAAGTCACAGTCACTTCAGCGGGTCGAAGTTACTCAGTTCCCTCTCCTGATGTTCATTAATGTATCAAGAGGAACAGTAACTTCTAGTATGGTCTTCTGATCCATGTCCACCATGAGCATCAGTGACTGACTCAGACAGACACAGGACAGGATATGATTCGATCTTCTAGCATCACACTGATGATCAGGAATACAAAGTAAAGGAGGAACATCGTGAAGCCCAGGATCTTGTTCATTCTCCATTTGCACAATGCAATCGAAAAGATCACAAACAGGAGCATGAGAAAAAGCAAGACGATTGCACAAAACAAGCCATTGCTGCTGACTGGAACAGGCTGTAATCCATTGATGAGAGAGAAGAGCAGCCAAGGAACAGGCAAGCTGTAAGGTTAAAGGAACACATGAGTGTTCAGTGTTTACAGTCCACATGCTTCATTAGTACTTATGGGTGAACAATAACTTACGTTCGCACACACACACAAAACCTATGAAGTAGAGGAAAAACGATTAGGTCCATTTCCCAGATAAGGAAATAAATGTTCAGGCAGATGAAACTAACTGCCCAAGAGCTTACAGCTTATCATTGGAAGAGCCTAGATTAAAACAAACGCTCCCCATCCGAACTTTTTTTCTGTATGCTTAATGACTTCTATATTAGAAGATAATGTGGCTTTAGTCTCTAAATCGTTATGACTAAGGCCTACCTCAAAGATAAAATTTCTTTAAATTTTTTAGTGATCAGGGCTCTCCTATGCTTTTTTTACCATCACCTGCCACCGCTCCCTAATATAAACAGCTTCAAAGTAAAGGAGCCAAAAATCCGGGAATTGAAAGTAGGCTAGTTCTCTGCTCGGACAAGGTTGGGGAAGAAGTGCATACATGAGAACAAGGCAGTCTCTTGTTTTTGTAAAATGCTGCTTAGAGCCTCTGAGATAGCAGTACCCCACAAGCGAAGGAGTGGGAATGTCAAGAAGTCATATGGGACCTGGCATGATGGCTCATGCCTACAATCTCAGCTACTTGGGAGGTGGTGATTGGGAGGGTCACAATTTGAGGGCAGCCCTAGCAAAAAGTTTGAGAGACCCCATTTCAACCAGTAAAAGCTGGGTGTATGGCATACCCTTGTCACCTCAGCTATGGCGGAAAGCAAAAAATAGGATTATGGTCCAAGCTGGGCAGGCAAAAAGTAAGACCCTAACTCAAAACTAACCAAGGCAAAAAGAGCTAGGGACATGGCTCAAGTGGTAGAGCACCTACCTAGCAAGCACAAGTCCCTGAGTTCAAACCCTAGTACCATCCAAAAAAAAAGGGAAATGGGGTCTGGGTATGTAACTTAGTGGTAGAGCATTTATTTGGCATATGTAAGGCCCTGGGTTTGCTCCTCATTGCCATAAAACAAAACAAAAAACCCTTCCTCCACTACCTGGTGTTTAACTGCATTTGGCACGGAATGAAGGGACTTCACTTTGCTCATCTGTAAATTCCACTCAGCCACAATTGAGCAGCATCTAGCCCTCTTATCCCATCTGGCTGGCTGTGCCTTGTAGGAAGCATCCATATAAATGCCCTTTCATTTCGCCATGATGAATGAAGCAGAAAATCAGTGAGCAATGCTAGGGGCATGGCTCCAGTGGTAGAGCACCTGCCTAGCAAGTGTGAGGCCCTGAGTTCAAACCCCAGTGCCACCAAAAAGAATCAATGAACAGAGCCAATGCACTGTTTCCAGCTCCACTTAGTGTACCTTGGAAAGGAACGTTGCCACTCACCCCACAGTGATATCAAAGATGTTACTGCCCACTGAGCTCGACACAGCCATGTCTCCCAGGCCTTTCCGAGCCACGATCACACTGGTGATGAGGTCAGGAATTGACGTGCCTGCTGCTAGGATTGTCAAACCCATAATCGCTTCAGAAATCCCTATGGTTTCACCAACCTGGTAAACAGCAACAGTAATGAGAAACCATGGCAACAACAGGTGAAAACTGAGACTCTTCACAGCACCAACCACACACTACCCTGTACAAATGGAGTACTTGCCTCCCCTGAGTGAGGGAGCGGGATGGCTGCAGGGAACCTTATGCCAAAAGCATAATACCAGCTGGGCACCTGTTACGCCTGTAATCCTAGCTACTCAGGAGGCAGAGATCAGGAGGATCACAGTTCAAAGCCAGTCTGGGTAAATGAGTTCACAAGACCCTATCTGAAAAAAGCCTAACACAAAAAAAGGGCTGGTGGAGTGGCTCAAGGTGTAGGCCCTGAGTTTAAGCCCCAGTACCACACACACACACAAAAAAGCATGATACCAGCTCTGCTCATGTCATTCCAACTGTACCACCTATACTTTCCCCAAAGAACTTCACCAAAGATCTGCTAGTGTCAACATACTCATTTCCGGAAATGTGACCCCTGCTGTGTGCCAGGAGCTACAGTAGAGGCCACCCACGCGTGTGTGAACAATGCTGCACAGTCACTACTCTCTGTGCTCAGTGTTACTCCAGCAGAACAGAAAAGTCATGGTTGCTCAGGCGAACAAGGGTGCAATGCCAGTGTTGGCTCAGAGTGTAGGATTCCAGCAAGAGCAAGGGGGAGCAGTCAGCTGGAATCAGGATGCCAGGGCCTTCTGTGTGGTGCTACAGAATGACAAAACCCATGCTCAAAAAGCACTATACTCACTGTAATAGAAGTCTACTTATATGAACATCGTAGAAAGTGCAGATTCACTTGACCCTAGCTCTGGGCTTGGTTACTGGAAATTCAAGTTCTGTTCACTCACCTGGTGAGCCCACCACACCATGAGATACGAGAACATGGCTATCCAAATGATGGATCCCAAGAACGTGATAACAAAAAACTTCCTGGACTCCTGTTGGAAAGTTTGAAAAGGAAGAGAAATAAGTTGCAGAGGCTACTGGTCTTTGGCCCTCGGAGGCCGCCCATAATCAGTGGAAGAGGGGAGTGGAGAACTGGGACATGTGCATGGGCCGAGGCACTCTGTGCAGCAAGCACGTTGAGATGATGGGTAAGAGGAGTGGGGAGTGCAGGGCATGCAGCACCCTTCAGTCTGAAGAGAGCCACTTTCTTGCCCTAGAACCAGACACCGCCCTCCACCCCACTCCTCTCTGGACCCAGAGACAGAGTGGGACTACCCTTGGGTGGAGTGCATTAGTCAGACCTTTCCCCGCAGATAGGGCTGTTGGGGAGAAATAGCAATTACCACCCCAGGTTTCAATTAGCGCCCTGTGAACTATTCCCAAAGCAATGGAATCAAGGAGGAACTGGTCCACACTGCGTACAGGGATGGGCATAAGGTACATGGAAGGTCTAGGGCTCCTAACCCCAGTGGTACTGCCCTCAGCATGGTCCCCCCAGAGCTGCATCCCCTTCCACATTCTCACAGGAGGGAGTCCTGACAAGCTGGGTTTCCCTGCCCTCTCCCTCTGGAGTGTGAGCCTGGGTGCCCAGACGCTCCTCAGCCTCCCTGGGGATAGGAGCCTGAGGAACAGCTGCGCACACGCACCTGCCTCCGAACATCGGGCACTGTCAGCCACAGTGGGAACACGATGGGCAGCAGGAAGAGGTAAATGGCCTGCTTCTGCCTGGTCTCAGGCCAGTCCAGTGACAGAGGCTCCTCGCTCCCCTCCTCCTCCTCGTCCTCTTCCTCCTCCTCCTCCTCCTCCTCCTCTTCATCCTCCTCTTCCTCTTCCTCCTCTTCCTCCTCACCCCCATCACTTCCCCCTTCACCATCCATTCCTTTCTCATTTGTGGCTTCACCTTGAATTTCAGCATTGACTTCTTGAGCTTCAGTTTCACCTTCGTCACCTTTTATTTCACCATCTCCTCCTTGGATTTCACCACCACCTTCATTTTCACTTCCCCCTTCTCTTTCCACTTGGGTTCCACCTCCACCTTCATGTTCATCTTCTTCTTTCCCTTCTGCCTCAGTTTCCCCTTCATGTTCATCTTCTCTTTGTCCTTCTGCCTCAGTTTCTCCTTCATGTTTATCTTCTCCTTTTCCTGCATTAGTTTCCCCCTCATGTTCATCTCCTTTCCCCTCTGCCTCTATTTCCCCTTCATGTTCATCTCCGTTCCCTTCTGCCTCAGTTTCCCCTTCATGTTCATCTCCTCCTTCTGCTTCAATTTCACCTTCTGGTTGAGTTTCAGCCCTACATTTCTCTTCGGTTTCACCTTTGCCAGGAGTCTCGGCCTCTTGACCTGTCACTTCTCCTTTACTGTCAGCTCCAGCCACATCTTCCTGC